TAATTTTCTAGTATAATATAACAAATAGATTACTACTTTGCTTACAATTTAGTTTTCTGAGATTGCATGTGTAATGGAGTTGTAATTTGCGAAGTGGCTAATCGAACGTTTGATGCGACCTGTACAGGTGCTCCTTTGCCTGGTTGACTGAATGCCTGAGCAGTTCTGTTCCCACTGGATGGTACCCATCCAGCTGCATTATTTTTACTATTTAATTTCTGTAATACCTTTTAAAGTATTTATATTCTTACTTGTTAACTTATATAAATATTTAATTAAGAATATCTTACACTAAGATATTACGTACCTTATGCTTTATATCATCACCATTCCATATGACATCATCTTCCCAGTGTAATTGTGATACCATTAAAAATGCATCATCAGAAAATTCCTCATTAGTGTCTTTGGCATCTTTATTATCTTTATTACTTTGTTCATCTAACTATTAGAAATATAATAATAGCATTATCCATGATAAATTGATTTGTAGAAATATTAAATTACAACTTCAAAATTATGTTTGATATTTCATATTTTGATATATATACAAATTAAATACCTTGTCAACGATTTTAAATCCATAGTTAAAACCATCCCCTGTTTCTGGAACTTGAAGCATATCATACCAAAGCTGTGCAGGACCAAACCGCCAATCTGCAACTTTTGGCCCCATATCTCCATTTTCTCCAGTTTCGCCTGATTTATCAACTTGTTCTTTATCTTCTACTGGCATTAATAATTTTGTTTCATCATCGGAACGACATATATCTGGTGTTGGGTCTGGACCATATTGCATCATCCAGCCCTAATATACACATAAATATTTAATTAACATACAATTGATACACTATAAAATTGAATCACTATTTGTACATACTTTAAACTTTGCTTTTTTTTCCTCCTGATCAGAGCCAGAATCAGAATCTCTAATATCATGATGTCGTTTCTTTTTACGTCTCCTTTTAACACCTTTCCATATTTGTGGAAGACTACTAGGTTTTCCTGGACCAAATAATCTTGAAAACCTCAAAACTTTATTAGCTCGAAAATCAGGAAACAATTCAGTAACATCAACATTGGCATATTTTGATGGTAGCATAGAAGCAAGAGGGGTTTCTAATTTACGCTGACGTGCAGCTTCTGCTTCTTCTGCAGTAAGTGCTTCTTTTTCTTCGGGAATTGGAGGAGGTGGCATTAATTGTGTATCAGATTTATTAACAACCTCTTCATCATCAGCATCATAATCAGCATTTTCCTTTTCAGTTTTTACTTCAAACATGTCCTGCTTACCTATTCATTAAAGTAATATTTATATTTATATATGTCTATAAAATTTTATTTTTAACTAAAAAAATCTTTTGATAGTTATATTTTTGTTATACTTACCACTTTCTTCTCTTTCATCCTCTGCTAATTCATTTATATCAAAAAAGTCAAGAGCACTAGGTGATTTCTTAACGTAACTGGTATCTTTCTCGTCAATCATATCATTTTTTTCTTCAGGCTTATCGTTAGATTCATTTTCTTTTTCCTCCGTGATATCATCATTTTGCATCATTTCACGAATAAACGAACTTAATCCAAGCCTATTCAGTGAAGCTATATGTTGCTTTGCCTCTGGATCAAGAATATCATCTTCCAGTTGACCATTGTCATCAATGTTGCCAAATAAAAAACCAGTCATATTGATCCCAGACGTTATGTCTTTATCATTTTCTTCTTCAGAATCGGCCATTTTGTTATAGTTAAAATTCAAGAAATTAGTATGATGTTAAATTTTCATAAAAAGATATCGGTTTTTCGAATATACAGTAGACGTATAGTACTAGCATATATTAATTGCACAGTTCTTAATTGTATATCATACATTTATTTATTTATAGTTCATTATGCATATACACTTATATATATTTATTATGATTTTACTATTTACAAACTTTTATTAATTACAAAATTAGCGAAGCAACGTTTTGTTTACGTAAACCTTTGCATCAACTAACCGCCATGTTCTTTAACATATTAGGTAGACTGATTCTCTGACGAGAACGATTAAATGACTGAAATTATATTTGGTATTTCTTACAACATTTAAAAAATAAACTCCCTGGAAATAGAATAAAGTTTATAGGATATTTCTATGTCCATGAGTGATAGGTGGTAACAAAGAGGAATTTCTTTTCCGTAGGTTTCCTCTGGTAAGCACGGTCGTGTACACAAGATTGTAAACACCAATGGAGAGGGTAAGGCTCTTAATGTCGGAAGTGGTGCTTTACAAATCGGTCACTATAGAACACTGCGATCGAGAATCTAGGATTTTGTATTTAGCGCCATCCTTCGGTGAAAGCATTGAAGATAAAGGATATAAACTAAACCACTTAAACTGAGCTTAATTAATGATTGAACTAAACTATTTTTCATAATTTTTCTCCGTCTATTTAAAGTAAATACATATACAATATTTCATCTAGTATAGAAAAATGTTGTTTAAATGAATATTAATTATAAACTGTTATTAAATATGTATTATTATTTCCAACAAAAAGTTTTAACATAATTACAAGATCCAAATCAGATATGTACACATAGATTTAGTATTTTTATATTTGGCGCACGTTCTAGACCTATATATACAACCGTGGTGATAATTATCTTAGGTACTTTCAATGTTAGTATTGGACAAACTACAAAACGATATTGGTAAAAAACTGATAGGTACATTTTTTAATTGTTGACCGCAACTTCACTACATGCTATAAACATTATGATAATAATTACTTTAAATTTATTGAATAATGATATAAAGACATTTTTTTTGATATAAAGATATTTAGAACCTATTTTTGTAGAAGTAAATTATACCGGTTTATATAAGTTGACAAATTTAAGAATTCTATAACTTGCCTCGAAAGAAAATGAATATGACTGAAAAATAAACTGTTATAGAAAAGATAAGACACAATTTATTATTTGTTCATATACAAAGTAATATTATTTTTATGGAAAGTAAAAATGTAATGTTAACACTAGGGTTGAATTGTGAAACACAAACGAAATTTTTACGAACTTGTTAAAAATAGTTACATTATTAAATATTAACACAATACTTTTCTAATAATGTTCTTCGCCATTGTCCTATCTGTACATCGTTATAATAAACAGATGCACCTATAAAGATGAAATTTATTAAGAGAATTTGAGATTTTACATTAGTAAATTTTTTTTTATGAAAATCATTTACAAAGAATCTTATGTATTGTAAATAACATGTGTTTGTATGATGTAGATGTTTTTCTACATAGTGCAAAATGCTGAAGAGGCAACTAATGTACCTCCATTTAGAATGTATATTACTAACAGTAACATAGCGGTAAGCCTGTTTTGCAATACTTTCAGCCAAATTAATATATATTGAACTGATGCATTATGAGAAAATAGAGTTCTTCTAATTTTTATAAATAGAAAGGAAGCAGAATAATTAAAAATCTCAAGTAATAATACAATGCACAAAATGATTGTAATCTTAAGTTATTATTTTACGAAATATAAAATGTGTGTAAAAAAGTGGCTTTTCAGATAAAACCAACATGTAGATCAAACTATACATATTGGGTTGCGACATAAGTAAGTTCGGTTAAACTCAATATTTTTCTTTATTTGACCGAATTTATTTATGCTACAACCTAATAGATGTTAAGTTTAAAATATACAAAATGTGTAAACAGTTTTCCTCACATTACATTATGAAACGAAGCATTTTGTTGTATCAGGAAAAATGAAATATAATTCACGCCTCTTTTCTGAAGTAAGCACTGGAACAGAAATTTTTTATCAAGTCCATTTTTAAACTATCGAAGGACAATCTTAAATCTCAACACAATCCTCCTGTTTGTTGCTGATAAACTTCTATTGTGTCTCCTTCTTCCATCTCAAGGGTTGTTGGTGTATCTAATTCGTTTATGGGTTCTCCATCAAATCTAAACCTTACTGCTGCTATCGCCAAGCCCTATATAAAAATATAATACTCTTACTACTACAAATATAATGATTTCTAATTGTTTAGATTATTTAGATACAGATATAGATATAATATAGATATTTATCTATACAAAGGTACATAAATTATATACACGCCATTTTATAATTCAAGGGTGTAACTTCAAATTATAATAATAAATTAAATACAGACTCTTACCACGCGATCACAGTAGGCATTCATTAATTTCCTGAGTGGTGTATGCTTCTTAATTTTAAACTGAACCACTGCACTATCTTGTCCCAATACTTTTAAATTTATGTGTTCGGATTCTGCTTTAGTTTCCTGTAACAAAGGATGTTCTTGAATCATCACTTACCATTGCATCAATTTTAAGGTTAGAAAATATTACCTTCTTCTCGTCAGACATGTTTACAGTTTTTCACAAATACGTTAGCTTGTCACTGATTAATAAAGAAACTTCCACGAAATTTTTTTAACTACCGTGTCAAATATTAGACCACTTAAAATTCTTATAAATAAACGTAAGTACAAATGAATCACTCGCAATAATCCCGCTACTACCTTTGTAGCTGTAATCACAACGTTTCCATACTACGCAAGTAGTATACGTACTATCATAGAAAGTTATTGGCATACACACGTTTTGAAAACCTAGCATACGTGATTAATAAACTTTTTAGGGAATTTCGTTACTCAGTCACGATCTGGTGAAAAACAAAATGAGTATTATACGTAACTTCACACTTATCAAAGAGTGCGCAAAATTTTCAATTTTTAAAGAAATAAATCTAAATAAGGTTGTCTTTAATGTTTACATTTTAAGGTTAAATTTTAGCCGCATTTACTTATATTTAATACATTCATATTATTATAATAATCAATTACCTAACAATCACTATCGTGATTCATGATGAATCTATCATGATGAATCACATCTATATATCCATTATTAGAATATAAAAGGTACGAAAATGTAATTTCATTTTATCAATTAAAATCATACAATTAAACTGAAGTATATTCAAGCATCAAACGATTTCTCTTTTACAAATAATTATGCAATTAAGAAATAGAAAGTTATTCTACATAAAATTGTATTATTAATCATTGTATTAACAAAAGATCAATCTTACAATAAACAAGACCATTCTACCTTAATTTCTTATATATATATATATGTATATATATATATATATAACGCTACTAAAATGCGCTATCACAGTATCAAAATTTGCATAATTCGAAGCCTGCATATGCATGCATAGTATTGAATTTAAAATAATCAAAATATACAAAATATATTCACTACTATTTTATCTCATGGTAAAATAATCTAAAGCAAAGTGTACGTCTATATGTATATGAACAAAATATAAAGTTTCGTACTGCACATTATGTTCAGAACGTAAGTAAATGTTCCATCATGTTTGAAAATTTTTTGGTCCTGAAAAGGACCGTTTTTGTTTCTTAAACAGTTTGTGACTGTCTATTTTGAGCTAGTGTACTTGGTGACTGCTTTGGTGCCTTCACTGACTGCGTGTTTTGCTAATTCTCCGGGAAGTAAAAGTCTTACAGCAGTTTGAATTTCACGAGATGTAATTGTAGAACGTTTGTTGTAATGCGCCAATCTTGATGCTTCTGCTGCAATGCGTTCGAAGACATCATTGACGAAACTGTTCATGATGCTCATCGCTTTGCTGGATATACCGGTGTCAGGGTGTACTTGTTTCAACACCTTGTAAATGTAAATAGCGTAGCTTTCCTTCCTCCTCCTCTTCTTCTTCTTGTCAGCTTTACTAATATTCTTCTGAGCCTTACCAGCTTTCTTCACAGCTTTTCCACTAACTTTCGGCGGCATGATGATGCTTCAAATCTTCGAATTATCGTAGATGAATACAACCGTACGACTCACTCTTTCAGAGAATACTGAGCGCAGTGAGGACGCATTCCTTTTATACGCTGGAATAGGGGCTACGTTGAACCAATCACAATTCAGCTTGGAACTGCTAGCGCCTTTCTACAATCTGATTGGCGCGCTGCTGCTACCATTGCATTCTCCACGATACAATTGATTTTATACGCGTAACATATCTAACATATTTCTAAGGCCTTTTTTACAAATTGAAAGTGTAAAAATTATATAGTTTTCTTTTTTTATATTAAAGAACATAATGGATGTGTGTAACAAAATTGAACTAACAAATATCATGTATTTTATAGTGAAAGTTACGCAAGAGAAAATAATATGTAGCTTTAAAAATTTAACGCAAAAGAATTAATATATGTATGTACACATATTGATAAACTAAAACAATAGAATATATTAATAAAATATTTTCACATAGTTTGTAACTTCAGTACTTATAAATAAAAATTATTTCCGAAACTCACGCTTATAAGGTAGAAAGGAAGAATAATGGGCTAGGTAAAAGAGTAGGTTGATAGTAAATTAATAATAATTTAGTACATTTATTCTTGGTTTTAGCCAATCTTTTAAATTATTTCTTTTCTTTTCTATACTATTGGCATTGCATAATTGATTAATATATTACAATAGTATATAATTTATTTAAAGTGCTTATTATAAAGTAAAATTTATACAGTAACTAAAGTAATATTGCTATTATCAATTTTTACTACTTTCTTTTTGGTGTATGAATTGAACCTTGTAATAAAGAAAGAAAGATATATATAGACCTTTTTAGGTAATTTATGATCAAATTAGGAGATAGCAGATGGTTATTTACTGAAAATTCTCAATGCGAGAATTGATTGTAAATTGTTCTCTGTTTCAAATATATGTATGATTCTTTGCAAAATAATTAATCTACATTAAAGAATATTGAGTAACGATTATTTCACATAATCAATTTTTTATATTTCGTGTTCTAAATTTTAAGCTGCCTTTTCTAAACAAAAGAATACATGTACGTCTTCTATTCAATACATATATAAATATATACATATTCAGAATGAAAAATACGGCGAAGAAACAATACAATAAGTATTCTAAAAGCAATTGTAGTTATAATTTATGGAGAGATATTTAAACAAAATATATCTCATTAAATATAATACAAAATACATAAAATTTTTCTTCTATCAATCAATATTTAAGCATTATATATTAATATAAAAAATGCTTTTTGTTAGATCATTACATTATATAAAATATAATTATTATTATTAAATATAATTGTGTTATGTTAATATATATATATATGATATATTATATATTAACATAACACAATTTAAGAATGAAATTTTAAATTTCAAATATATTATCAAATTGCAAAATTATTCATTTATAAAAATAATATAAAATAACAGCTTATAAAATTATTGTATTTCCGAACCAATGAGAACGCTGCTCGTCAGCGATTGGTCAGCTTTTGTTGCCACAGACCCTATATGAATGATGTTCTTGTACTGCTTTGCGTATTCGTTTACATTGTTCGAGTAACGACGTAGGGAAGAGAACAATTTTCGATGTTAGAAAGTGTATCGAATGTTTTTTGCGCGATGAAAAATGGAAGATCAAAAGATGCGGTTTCGCTACATTATGTATCAGTGCTTTAAAAAATGTAGTACGCCTAAAAACACTGCAAAGGAGATTTGTGACGTTTATGGTGATCGGTCTATAACTGTTCAAACAGTTCGGACTTGGTTTAGGAGGTTTAGAACCGGAAATTTTAATCTGAAAGATGAAGACCGCAGCGGTCGTCCATCCACCACTGATATTGACCTTATCAAGGCCTATCTCGATGAAAATCCAAAGTCTAGCCTTCGTGAGATAGAAGATGCTTTAAACATTCCGCGAACAACGATTCATGAGTATGTAACAAAGCTTGGGTACGTTAATCGCTACGACGTGTGGCTCCCCCATCATCTGACGGAGAGCAATCGCATGAATCGAATTTTGATATGCGATTTGCTAATTCAACGCAACAAAACAGAGCCATTTTTAGAAAAGTTAATTACTGGAGATGAAAGTTGGATTCTCTATGATAGCATTGCGCGCAAGCGATCCTGGTCGAGTCGAGATAAGTGTCCTCCAACGGTAGCAAGACCTGGACTTCACCCGAAGAAGGTGCTGCTTTCAATTTGGTGGGACTGGAAGGGTATCCTCTACTACGAATTACTTCCGGAAGGGCAAATATCCTCTACTACGAATTACTTCTTTCAATTTGGTGGGACTGGAAGGGTATCCTCTACTACGAATTACTTCCGGAAGGGCAAACGATCAACAGTGAAAAATATTGCACCCAACTCGAAAAACTTAAGGAAGCCATTATCACAAAACGTCCTGAAATGATGAACAAACGTGGCTTCGTATTCCACTACGATAACACGAGGCCACACATTTCTTTAGCGGTGCAAATGAAACTTCTAGAGTTTGATTGGGATGTTTTACCACATCCTCCATATTCTCCAGACCTTGTACCATCGCACTATTATTTGTTTCTCCCCCTAAAGGATTTTCTTCGCGATAGAAAATCCAAATCAGTAAACGAAGTGAAAAATGGCCTCGAAGAATATTTTAAAAGTAAGCCGAGAGAATTTTGGAAAAATGGTATTATGAGGCTACCGGAGAGGTGGCAAAAGGTGGTAGAACAGAAAGGATCATACATTATTTAAGAAAGTTACACAGAAGGAAATATATTTTATACTTACCTCCTATTTAAAAAACGAAAAGAACTTTCCGGACAACCTAATAACTGTTCTATTTAATCATTTGTCTTCATTTTAGTATAAATCTAAAATGTCCAGTCGCGAAAAATGAGGGAAAACAAAGGCGAAGGGAAATTCGTCTCGTTTGTTCAAAGCGGAACTCGCATTTCCCGTTAGTCGTATCCATAGACTTTTGACGAAAGGTAATTGCGCCAAACGCGTGGAGTCTGGTGCTCCTGTCTACCTGACTCTAGTTATGGAATATGAATTACTGAAAATTCTCAATGCGAGAATTGATTGTAAATATTAATAAATAAAAAGAAAACATTATGGAATATTTGGCTGCTGAAGTTCTGGAATTGACTGAAAATGCAGCACGAGACAATAAAAAATCCAGAATCATACCCAGACACATTCAACTCGCCATCCATAATGACGAGGAATTAAACAAATCACTATCTGGAGTCGCTATCAGACAAAGGGGTGTTTTGTCAAACATTCAAACGGCAACAATATATCCACGAAATGGCCCTTTTAAGGGCCAAAAATTATCTTCAAGACGAAGGATCTTCTCGGATTTTGCTTTGTCCTTTTAATCCTTCGGATTTACACAATTGTCACAATAATCATCGGTCACGTTACTAAATTTTGTAAAATGATTAAAATAAGAAATTTCATGGAAAATTTTCAAATTTATTAGTCAAAATATTTGGAAATTTTTCCGTAGCTATTATTTTAGGATATCCTATATGTCGGAGATGAAAGGACGCCGGGGCCCCTCTGGAACTTCAGGATAACCTCCTAACATTGTAATCTAGAGTCTCCTATAGCCGTAATGAAACAATCGCAGTTATCCAAGCCGATGGTAACCGTCCGGGATTAGTGACGGTGAGCTTTGGCTCGGGGCGACAGCCTGTCGCCCAACGTAGCCGCGGTCAATGCCAACGTAGCCGCGGTCAACGGGACGGGCGCTCCGTCTAACAAAGGTGCGGAGCGGTGTTGTTTATTCGACCAATCGCGGGGAGACGTAGTCGCTAGGAGAGACGTCAACGGGAGTCGTAAATTCCCGTTACGATTATAACAATCGACACCACGAGTTGATCGATCCCCTGATTTCCGTTAGGAGAAGAGGGGTGGTTGAATTAGTATAACACTGTGATTCACAGACTTATAAGGTTTTATTTTCAACACTTAAGTTACACTGTTGAGTAGATATAATTCCTAGATGACAACTTGTAGCCCGAAGGTACGATAGATATGCACGATAGATATGCACGATAGTAGATAGATGCACGAGCGATTTAGAACGCAAGCAGCGATATAACAATAATGATAAATAAAAAAAATAAATAAATATTTTCTATTTTATACTACAAATGCACTACACTATACACTGCGCATAATATGTACATTTCAAGCTGTACGGCCGCGCTTGAACCGTATTTACATTATATCTTCCTATACTTTATATCATCCTATACTTTGATGTTAACGATGATTTCATTGAAAAACTATTATTTGAAAAAGAGAATAACAACATATAACAATAATTTTTCGTATTCAATACATTTCATCTTATTTTAGAACTAACAAACATTAATAACAAATGTATTTCGTAGAATATTAGTATCGCAATATTTTACTTTAATTCGCCGCATTTTATTGCTATTAATTAACAATTTGAATAATATATTTTTACATACTATATAAATATCGAATTTTCTTAATAACATAGAGTTCGAATTCTTGCATTTGATACATTTAGTTCGAAGTTATAATTATTTTAAGTTAGTCGTCGTTCTTCGGGGCATTGTCAATTTCATTTACATCTTTTACAACTTCTTCATTATATTTCCAGTAATCATGAATGATTGTACTTTTATGATAATTTAGTATTAATAGAATGATGCTTACTAAAATTTTGAGTGTCTAAAGGAATAGAAATTTCGCATTTTATGACCATCCTTCTTTTTAGGAACTGCCTTTTGATAACTAGCTAAATAAAATCTCCAATATAATGATCAGTTAGCGAAGCGTTAATATATACGTGTTTACATCATTTAATTTACATCAAAAGTGTTCTCTTCTCAATGCGAGAATTGATTGTAAATTTTAATAAATAAAAAAAAAAAGTGTTCTTTACATGTATTATATACAGCAGTAGAGGATGTGTTCTTTGTGTGCTGACTGACAGATTTTCAGCAGATGTTCGTTACAACTGCAGAATACGTTGTAGCGGGCAGCTGTACTCCAGCGAGATCCACTTGAAGCCGACTTTTCTGTGATTGGCTGGTAAGGTAGTGGTGGGGAGAACTTAAACGACGCCTGATATATAACTGCGGACCTCTGTTGCTAAACGACAGTTCTGGGATATCTCTCAGAGATAGCTGTTTCTTGTGTTCAAGAAAAGTTTTCATCATGACCGGCCGTGGAAAGGGAGGAAAGGGATTGGGAAAAGGAGGAGCGAAGAGACACAGGAAGGTTCTTCGTGATAATATCCAAGGTATCACGAAGCCTGCCATTCGTCGTCTAGCAAGACGTGGTGGCGTAAAACGAATCTCTGGTTTGATCTATGAAGAAACCCGAGGTGTACTGAAGGTATTCCTTGAGAACGTAATTCGTGACGCTGTCACATATACTGAACACGCAAAAAGGAAAACTGTAACCGCAATGGACGTGGTTTACGCCCTGAAGCGTCAAGGAAGAACGCTGTACGGATTCGGTGGTTAAATTTCTACGGATTCCGTCTACTCAGCTTCATATAAAACGGCTCTTATAAGAGCCACAAAATATATGCGGATGAATGATTCTCGGAAACTATCATTGTTACTATTTAATGATGAGTAGGATGAAATTTTTAATTTTTACTATCGTTTGCACCAAATGTTTGTTGAACGTTTGAATATTTGTTGAAATTATTTAATATTGTTTAAGAACGTAAAATGTACTTCAATTTGGCTTTATAGTTTTGTATTTGTATAATCGTAGTGTTAGTAGCAGTTGTATTGTAGTAGTAATATTTCTAACGTTAAATATGTGTAATACATGTATATGTATAGTTCAATGCAGAATCAAAATAAAACGCAATATCATACAAAGTGTCAATATAATATAATTATGCATGTTTCGTATTTTCTCTGTGCATTTCAATACTTTTTATGCAATATCGATTAAAGATATTGTTCAGAATAAATATTTAGAAAAGGGTATATTTAATATGCGCAGATTGCATTGGAAAAGATTTACGAATACAAATGAAGTAATTTTTATAGAGCTTATCTGATAAATCTTATTCCGTACAAATATATTTGTGATATTAGTTGATTGGAGATGCGCTATGAAAGAATATTACATAAATTAGCGCGGTACAGGTAAGTATTTTAATTATAGTCTAATGTAAGTGTTTTGTTATGTGTATTCACAATAATCTTTTGACACTGTTTCAGTAATCAAGCTTTTTCTCAATCTAACCTATTAAGCATTGTAAAATTAACACGTAGAAAGATGTCAACAGACCCAAAAGCTTTGGAAAAATCTAAATTTGTATTAAAAGATATGTATTTTGCTGGTGTTAATGCAGTTTCACCTAAAACTCTTATGCTAAATAAAGTTAAATTTAAAGATGGAATGTTATACATTGGAGACCAAAGTTTTGAACTTAAAGAAAATGTTTATTTAGTTGGTTTTGGCAAAGCTGTCATGGGTATGGCAGTAGTTCTTGAACATATGCTTGGCAGTTATTTGAAGAGAGGTGTAGTTAGTGTTCCCTCTGCATCGACAGACTCGATGTGGAAATCTGAAGACAAATCATATTTTCCTTTAATAGGAAGTGGCGTAGTAAAATATTACGAAGGTTCTGAACATAATCAGCCGGATGATAGATCTCTAGAAACAACACATGAAATTATAGACTTAGTCGAATCTCTTACAGAAAATGATACTTTAATTGTATTGATATCCGGTGGTGGTTCTGCGTTGCTTTATATGCCAAGGCCAGTAATTGAATGTGAAGATAAATTATATGTTTGTAAAATGCTTCAAGCAGCTGGAGCTGATATAAAAGAGCTTAATATAGTGAGAAGTAAATTATCTATGGTGAAAGGTGGTGGTTTAGCTCGAATGGCCTATCCAGCTACAATTATCAGTTTAATATTATCTGATATTGTAGATGATCCTATAGAGTTAATTGCTAGTGGTCCGACGGTATACAATAGTAAAAGTCCAAAAGAGGTAATAGCTATATTGAAAAAATATAATTTATTTGAACGTGTAGATGGTGATGTGAAAAAACTTTTAACATCTAAGGAAAAATTTAAAGATAAGAAATTGCTAACTCGAAAGAAAAAACAATTCAAGCATGTAACTAATATTATTTTGGGAAATAATACAGTGGCGATTGAAGCAGCTTCTTTGCAAGCATATCATCACAAGTTAACTCCAATAATATTAAGGCCCGATGTTGTAGGTAATGTACATGACGTCAGTTTAGCATATGTTCATATAACAAGTTTGATATGTCTTGCATTGGATAAAGCTTTAGAAAAAGAAGAATTTTTTGAAAAAGTAAAAGATATACCCGTACTTTCTTTATCTGCTGCTAAAGTGGATGAAATTTATAACTTAATTGATAATATGAGTGAAGAAGGAATAGTATTGATTGGAGGTGGTGAACCAACAGTAGTAGTTAAAGGAAAAGGGAAAGGTGGTAGAAATCAAGAATTAGCGCTACATTTTTCATTAGACTGGTTGGCAAAAATTAAAGGTTATCCTCGATTTTCGGAATATGAAATAATAATGTTGAGCGCAGGAACAGATGGACAAGATGGTCCAACTGATGCAGCAGGTGCATTTGGTTATCCTGCTATTGGCCCACTGATACATGATGTATATGCAAGAGTAAAGTCTATAGCATCAAAAGTAATAATTAAAGAGGAGGAAAAGAAAGAAGCTCTTAGGAAAAAACTGGAAGAGCAAGAACAACTTAACATACAGCAGCAACGTAAAGATCTATGCAAAACGCAACAATTAAGTGGGTTTATAACAAATAAAAAGAAAGAAATAATAAAAACAATGGAAAAAGAAGTTAGGCCTAATAAAGAAATAGATGAAAATGATGAGGATAATGTAGTTCCATTTATACTTCAAACAATGGAAGTAGAGCGTATGTTACCTGAAAATACTTTAAATGAGAATGATTCATATAATTTATATTCTCGATTTAAGAGAGGTACAGATTTATTTAAAACTGGTTTTACTGGTACGAATGTTATGGACTTACATTTCATCTATATAAAAAAACGTAAATGCGACTGTAAAATAGATTTTGGAAAAGAATTTTTCCAAAATACTTTAGATGTACATGACTTACATATTGATACCTCAACTATAGAAAAATATAAAAATTTGTATAAACGAGAACCTTTTCACTGGGATAAATTTTTGTCTAGACCATCGGCTGTGGCCGACGAAAAGATTGACCAACTTAATATAAAAATTATTGATGCTAATTTGACTGATCCATGTTGTCGTAAAGACAGAAAATTCCCACTTAAAAATCTTTTGGAAGATAAAGATTTACCACTGTAACATATTTTGTAAAACAGGGAAATTTTCTACGCTATATTAAAAATCTTATAAATTTAAATGAAAAGTTTTATTTTTTAAAGATATTTGTATACATTAGAACTTAAACATGAATAAATAATATATGCATGCAAATTATCATTAAAACTTTTTAAAGTACAAATAGTAATATTTATCACGCTGATTTTAATGAGATATACACAATAGATTTATCCGTTTAACTTCTTTCGTTAAATAGAATTAACCACCACATGTAACATACGTATATATGAATGTATATACAATTCACTTTTAATCGTCATTAACGCAATCAAAAATTTGATTAGTGAGATTCATTAACATCTGTTTACACTAAACAATGAGGATAAAATAACTTATATTTAGATAAAAATTTAGAAATAAATTTTTATCTAACACACACACGCGCGCGCGCGCGCTCGCGCATATGTACGCATGCACGCACACGCTCGCACATACAATGCTCATTCTACATACATAATAGCAAGTGATTTGTACTACACAATTACCTTGTATTATTGTTGCATATAACATACACGATATTTAGTACAAAAATTCGTATTGTTTGCTAAAGATCCCAACTAAACAAATGATGTTTAACTAGCATATCACGCACGCCATCTTTCAGAGGTTGTGATTGTTCTTTTTTTGGTGGTAATTCCCAATCAGGATTTAAATTAAATGCAAATTGACTTAATATTCTTAATTCACATTTAATTTGTACCCAGCCAGGACTATTGATAAAACTCCACGGTTGGTACCTGTAAAATTAATAATACGTAAATTATTGCAATAAAAAATATAATAGAATTATAATAAACTATTATTATTTTGTTCAATATATATCTAGTACCATTTTTGTACAACTTCTACACACGAACATAAAACTTCAAGCCATAAATGTAACACTTGTTCATTTAATCCAAGACAAATAAGAGATCTTAATTTTACATCCATTTGAGCATGTGCATTATCGTGGGTTAAATTTACTGACTGAACGCATCGGTATAATAACTGAAATAAAATTGGTTAGGGTTAGGTTATAAATTTTGATCAAATAATCTATTGTAAAGATATAAATAGTACTACCTCTTCAGGCGTGAGAACTTTACCATCTTCGTCCAGTCTATATGTCTTACATAATACTAATCTACTGTAAACTGAATTAAAGTCCTTTTCCACTTCTCTATTTGAAGCTTCTTCGATAAAAAGCCATGGATGACATGGACCACCTAAGAATGATGGTCTACGCATTCCATGTTCTAATACTGCCTTAATAGCGGGGCACAAAGTTCCCCTGACTAAATCAGTAACAGCTTCGCTAACTGCATCATCTCCAGCACACGTATATTGTTTACTTCTTTCATCTAATAATTCTACAAATTTTGCAGGAAACCATCCTCTTAATCCATTAAGTTCTCCCACCCAACAATGTTCATCTTTTTGGCTTATAATTGTAATTATATCATTTTTTCGAAAACCTAATTCATCATCATCATGTCTTTCAAAATCTGTATAATGTGATCATAGAAATTGAAAGAGAAATGATCTTATTGTATATTAATATTACGTATAATTAGGAATATTTTCATAACTTAAATATATGTTAATGACATACCTAATAACGCCTTAGCTCTCCTTTTTCTAGTGCGTGAAACATTAACATAATTATCATGATCTTTCGCGTGACTCTCCATACTATAATCTGCTATAAGCACAATATTGTTTAATTTAGGGTCGACATTTATAAAATGTCTAGCAACTTGCAAAACAGCTTCTCTTAAATCAACCAATATTTCTAAAATATTTAGAACGTGTGATTTTCAATTTCTTTAAAACGTCACGTTTGTTTTATTCATGACATCAATATACCTGTCTGTCGAATATTTTTTGACTTTGCATCATCTTCAGTATCATAACTTCCAAACAAGAACGTTTGAAACATTGATTTATTTTTTTTCATTTGACGCCTTCAAGAAAATACAGAAATTTAATTACAAATAAATATTTAATTAAAAACTTAATGAAAACATTTCGAACGATATAATTTTAAATTTATTATACCTATTGAGATGTTGTTTTGGTAAATTTGGTACAGCATCGGGATTACCCACTAAGCCACCTTGATCTGCCATTAAATATGCCAGGTGTCTACGTCTGTGAGTTTCAACCAAAACGTCTGTTAATGATCCACTTACTTCTAAAGACGTCTAAGAAAAGATGATAACTTTCGGTTATAGAAATTGGCTCATTACCTGTATAACAAATTTTAATAAGATTTGGAAAATGTGAACTTACTTTAAATAATAGATCAACATCGTCGATATCTCCGGGTATATCCGAAAGAGCATTAAATATTTGCGCAGAGTTTTCTAATTCCTTTAATTCATGTTCTAAAAAGGTATTTAGAATTTTACACTTGTGAATATATTTACTATAAATATTATATACCTTTAATTTTTAACATTCCAAGTGTAACTTGAAACAAAACTATAGATCCATCAAAAAGAAACATATCCCATATACGGAGCAATATTTTCTTATGTACAACAGATGCAAATAAAGTCAGGAACCAATGTAAAGATATTAAACTTAATTCTATATCATGTTGAACTAAAACATGGTCGATATCAGGGAGATAATTAGCTACTAATGTACGAAGTACTCTTTGATCAGCTTGAATACCTGTGAAATATTTTTAAAATTAAAATCCATTATGTTTCTACATAATTTATTACATGTTAGTAGTATATTACCTAATAACGTTGAAGAATAGTAAGATGCTGGCAATAAATCTTCCACTATTGTAGCCATCATCCAAAAAGCATCTTCTTCTTCTAATAATAACAAAAGAGAAGCTGCTATTGTTCCTGTACCTTGGCAATATCTTTGCAAAATAAATAGATTATGCAATAAATAAATAAGGATATTACAATATTATTTAATATTACATACAATATTATTTCATAAAAGTATCATTACCCAATATCAGGATATAGCCAAGCAAGAGCACGCATAACACGTCTTAAACGTGGTATTCCTGTGCTATGAAGGTGGCTAAAGCATGCATTAGCAGGCATAATGCGTAAAAGATCCTTTTCAATCTGTTTATTAGTTACCAATGCGTCATTACTCGATGCTTTTACTATATCTTTATACATTATCTCAGAAGAACATTTTTTCTGAAGTGCTCCTGCAACATTGAATAAAGTAATTTATTTTGTATCTGTATATTATAAAATATTAGGGATGGGGGAAGTTGTTGCGATGAGAAATTTGGACAGGAATGGGTGAAATCTTATTACTCTTGTATTGTTCGGGACCTCAAAACATAATTAGGAATCAGACCAGATAATTGGACGCAATCGATTCAAGAACCTGATGTTCCTTACCTGACATTCTCATCCAAATTTGAGGTCTCAGAGAATGAGGTATACCACGATGAACCATATCTCGCAATTTATCTGTACGTGGCAACCTTCTATCCATATTTTGCCAAGAAAATTCAGCTACTTCTTTATTATGGCTGAATTCCAACAGAGCAACCCATTGTAGTCTAAATATAGAAGTATTTAAAGTTAGCTTTATTAATTTTATTAATTTGATAACTATTATTCATTTGATTTCTTCATACCTATGTTGGGGATCTTCAACAAATGGGATACCTAACAACTTTTTTGAACTTTGTTCTGGGCCATCTTCTTCTTCTACACGAAATCCAAATTCATCAAACCTAGCATAGATTATATTTGTAAACATAAGAAAATTAATTATAATGTACTAAATTATCATGTGTTATAATAGTATTTTATACTAAAAAATTTGTTATAAGCACCTATATTCAGGTTGCGAATTGGGATCATCAGGTTGATTTAATTTAGCTAAAATATCTTGGGGCCACATGGATGGCGTTAAGGCAGAAAATGGACCTCCTGGTGCAGGAGATAAAATTTCGCCACATAATCCTGAAACTTCTACTTCAAATTCATCTTCAGAAGCAGCAGTTTCCAATTTTTTCTAAAGAGTAAAGATATTGTGTAATTTCAAATGCACAATATGCTAACAGATGTGTAATCCGGTACTTGCTAATTTATGGTAAACTAAATATTACTTTACAAAAGCTCTTTATTTTCACAAATACCAAACTTTTAATGCTCCTTTACTTATAAATAAAATAATCGAATGAAAAATTCATTAAAATCAAATAGATAAAAATACTAACGTTATGGTCATCCTTTCCAACATAACCTTCATGATCACGAACATTAAATAACGATTTAGCAATATCCATTTTGTAGAACTTTTAGATATTTATTTATTGTTTTTTATATATTTGTTTATTTATTATTTTACATTATTTTATTTTAATGATATCATTATATTCCTCGTATTTAAAAAATATTAATCTATACACGATGTTCACGGTATTGACACTATTATTCTGCTATTATATTTATGTCGCCATCTAACGAACCTACTGATAATTAAACCGATAACACACCAATATAAATATTTAAATCTGCGCAATGACTTACAGATAGTAAATTTATCGTCTGTTACGTTTAAAACAATTTTTGTGGGGAACTTATATAATAATTGTTGAATGGTTGATTTACAATTACGTTATCTTATTATACATTTTCAGTAATCCTTTACAAATATTTATACATAATGTATTATTATCCGATGGATATTAAAAAGTATGTTCCAAATCGATAAAGAAAAGGTAACACGTATTAAAAAATATTTATTCGTATTGTATAACAATTTAACATTACGAAGCAAAAAATTGATTACGTATCAAGTGTTTACTACAATATATATAGCTATGAATCAGAATGAAAATAAATGTAGCTCATTTCAACACATCACGTATTGTTTATTGTAATATTCTACATAGTACATTTATCAAGTTACGTTCTAATTTTCTTATTATGTAAGAACAATTTCTACTAAGAAGACAAATTAATTACACGTAACTAATTGAAGTTGCACATAAATATGTGTAAGAATTAACATTATGTTGTTTTAAACGCGATGCCATAATTCCGGTATACAGGAGCTTGCAATTAACGTGTATCAGCAGGTGTGCTATAGTATATGGAAGGAGCGGGAAAAGTATCTCAACCAGAATCTAGGGTTTTTCGTTAGCATTCACGGTATCGAGCTGCGAATTGGACTTTACCGCCGACATTATACATAGAAAATGAATCCGATTGGGCAGCGTGGCACGAAGGCCACATCCGGCAGCAGCACTGCAGTATTGGTCGATCCCGCTTCAGTAACACCGAAGTTGGTCGAATTTCCTATATATTATTGATAAATAGCTCGCGTTACTCGTGTGACTCTTACCATAAAATCAACGTCGGTGTCCGTAATTAAGGAAGGAAACTCTCGGTTCACCGGAAACATCGTATATACCAATAACCAAGAAGAGACGCAGAAACGGTTAGGGAGTAAGCGCGTTAATTCTAACAAGAGAATCATCGTAAGGGATTATCGTGCATTGGGTGTGACGGACATTTATATATCCGAACGCGAGTTGCATGAAAGTCGTGCCGTGTTGCGTGAAGTGTTGAAGGAACGCTCGATTATTCGTGGATCTCGATGGGTGTATGTGCGATTATGTCGAGCGCCACCGAACCGAGGTGAGCGGTATAGAAGGGGAAACTGGCCAAAAGAAGCTGCCTTCGAATCTGTTTTTTGCTCCGCCATTGTACGCTACGAGAGTACCGCGAAGGAAGCCGCTTGCCTCATTTTCCCCGTGTTTTTATCTTCAATTACATTTTAACGTACCGAACGTTAGCTCGACCGTGTAAACGCGCCTACGTCCGCGTTTAACGCACCGTCTCGTGGTTACGCTATTCACGAGGCGAAGCACGTTAGTGTCTTCTATCTTTCTCTGTTTCGTGTTTTCTATCTCGCTCTAACTTTTTCTCTTGCTCTTTCTCTCTCTCTCTTTGACACACGCACACACACGCACACACGTGCGCGCGCGCAAGCACGCACGCACATACACGTACATTTCTCATTTTCTTTCTCACTCTCTTTCCCTTTCCCTCTGGTGTATATAATACCTCTCGATGCCTTCGACATCTCTGCGGAAGTCGTATGTGTAAAGGTTTTTCGCGTACGTGGACATCGGTGAATACGCGAAGTGATTCGTATAATAGCAGTGTCTTTTGCCGGGGATACAAATCTTGCGCGTCATTATGCAATAGACGACGTACAACTGACGAGAAAGAACTGCCTCCTCTGTTGAGGACGAGGACGGCGGTGGTGTTGTGCGGCATGTTTTTATCTTTGTTTTCCAATTCCGTGCCACGACGAGGAAACGCTGCC